GAAGACACAAAAGTTAATATTTTCCTACACTTAAAATATATTTCCGATAGATACTTAACTCCACTCACAAATAGCTTTTCTTAACTTATACTGCCCTCTATATGCACAAGTTTTTGCTCACCACTAGCCTTGATTCTCCCACCTACCCTCATGTGTATTCACATGAGATATCTGCATGCTATCATACAAATGATCATGCAGCAACCATCCCCCAACAGGAGTGCAACACAACTGCTATTGTCACTAGCACCCTTTCTTCTGTGCAGCCCGAAATCACTTTGAGATTGGGCAGTACATACAAAACCTACACCAGAAGTGGGGAAGTCAGGTGGGAAGTGGTATCTATCAGAAATACATTTTAAGTGTAGGAAAATGTTAACCTTCAACACGATTTCTTAGCTCCACTAACAAACAGCTAAAATCCCATGCTGAGTTGGTGGAGAGTCCAGTGAGAAAATGATCTCCCTTTAGAAAGTGCCCAAAGGAAGACCATGGGATGAGCGAATAAATGAAAGTCTCACACTCCCGTGTGAGACTACACCATTTTTAAACCAGGTATATTCTTTGCCCACGTAAAATTGTGTTGCAATAAAGACAAAAACAATGGAGGGACCTCCCCACTGGACACAGACCACTCCATAGGGAGAATCCTGTCAGGATGTGATAAATGATCTGCAATAAGATTCATGGCACCCGGAATATGACAAGCCAACAAAATAATTTTATGGCTGTGGGCTCAATATAGGAGGTCCAATATCTGAAAACAGAGGTCTCTTAACTGAGTGCTCCTTGCCTAATGATGTACGAAAACATTATCAAGTTGTCAGAAAGCACCATCACTGACCAGCCCTGAAGGTCCGGAAGAAAATGAGTCAAAGCCTGACGAATGGCAAAGAACTCCAAGAAATTGATATGGACAGAGGACTCAGAGAGTACATTGCCTCGAAACCTCCCAAGCATCCAGAAAAACACTCCTAACCAGAAACAGAAGCATCATACAAAGGTCACATTTTGGTCAAGGAGGAGGAAGGGGAACACCAACAGTGGTGTTGTCTCGATCCAACCACCAGGCAAAAATGGTCTGTAAGGAAGAAGGAGAGGGGCATTCAAGGAATCCCGAATGTCTCCACCAGTCCATCAAAGCCCACTGATTGTGATGCATGTGGGCATGACTAAGAGGGATGAGAGCTTCCAGAGAATCCCTCGTCCTCAAAAGAGATAGAACCTCTAGAGCAATGGGAGAAGGAGAGGGGGATAGGTTGAGAACCAGGAGCTCTTTAACCTGCAAATGAAGGGAAAAAGGTTAGGCCCTACTGAAGAGGGAATTAAACAATACCCCACAATGAACAAGGTATTAAATGAGAGCAAGGAAAGACCTCTCCACCCCCACCAACCAACCAACCAACTTCTCATAGAAGAAACTGAGTATGAAGGGCAGAGATGGTCTACAAGGGAGCTAGAAGTAGCCAGTCATCCTTGTAAGGGTGGAAATGAACACCTTGGGAAGGATGAAGACAGGCAAACACACAGACCACCCGAAAAAAACATAGGGAGCTTAGATGAGCCCAAATAGAAAAAACAACCCTGATGGACAAAACAAAGGTAAAGTCAGGATGCAGGGGAGAAGAGAAAGTAACGGGAGACCACTGAACTATCTACAGTAGTCTTCCATAGACAAGAAGTGAAATCCACTCGCTTCTAAGATACCCCACAAAACCCAAGGTCCATGCCAAAGGACCACCAGTCGTGGGCAAAGCAGAGGGGCCTTGCCCCCACAGGATCCAAACCTATTACGTAGTTCTGAGACCATTGGTTTCCCAGAAGGGTGCCACAAGTAATGACAGCAAACCATAGGAATATGAGAGGCTGGAACCTGAAAGTAGAGGAAGGAAGAGGGTGAGACACAGGAGCAGGTTCAGGAAGGGGTTGAAACAAATGAGGAAGCCAATGAGGAAAAGAAGGTATGCAACTATGCCGATGCAACTCAGAATACCAAAGAATCGAGAATACCCCCATAAACTTCCTGGCAAAGAAAAGGAGCCATGTGTAAAACCCACAATGAGGATGGAGGTAAATGTACTCACAACAAAAGGGCAGTCTAACCTCAAAAAGGTCCCAACAACAGAGGAGTCGTGTTAGCAAGGAAAAGGCAGATGAGGAGAGGTATGCTATGATGGAAAATAGGAAAATGAAGGCTGTCAAAAAATAAGCAGAATAATGGGGTCCAAAACACCAAAGGGACAAGCAGGGAGAAATGCTGGGAGTCTAAGGAGCAAAATGCAGAACAGTGCTATACCAAGGCATAGTCTACCATAGTATGTGAGGTCACAGCATACCAACCCATGAATGTAACTGGTCTAGAAAATGATCTGCATGAATCCCAATATCTGGTGAAGAAGTTGAAACACTGGATACTAGCTCATCAGTGGAACACTAAGAAGGGCAAATTAGGAGTCAAAGGAAATTGGAAACAGAAAGACAGAATAAATCATACCTGAAGTATTAAGTCGAGAAAGGGAGATGAAGACCTGGGGACCTCCCCTGAAATGAAACAGGGAACAGGCTGTTAAAATTCACATCCATATTTTCAGGTATACCCTCACACTGTAATAGAGGACAATCATTCGGTGATCCAGAAGACTGCATAAAGGTAGCCAACTCCGTTCAAACAGAGCCATTACTTCCTCAGCAGAAAAAGCTTGCCCTCACACCATTTGAAGGTCCAAATCAGAGTCATATATGGAAAAAAGAAAAAAATAGTTGAAGGACATGGAAAAAAAGTGTGTGTTTGGAATAACACTTAAAACATGAACAAAAAATAAGGAGCTAGTATATAAAAAACGAAGTTATGCAATTAATCGACACAAAGTCGAAAAATAAAAATCAGTAGGAAAGCATGTGTGAAAACACATCCCAACAGTAAGCATGATCATTTATATGATTGCATGCAGATGTCTCACTTGAGTACATGGGAGGGTAGGTGGGAGTATCAGGACTAGTGACAAATTAAAATGTGTGCATATATAGGGCAGTATAAGTTGAGAAGTTATTTGTGAGAGGAGGTAATATAGTATTAGGAAAGAAGGACAGGACATAGAAAACAAAGGGAAAACCGGCTGAAAGAGATGTGTAGGAAGGTGTCTGGCACATTGACCATGGCCAACTGCAAAGCCATAGATGGGATTGGAGGGAGTAGAAAAGGAAATGGAGAACAACTGTCAGCAGAAGGGACCAACAGCAGAGGAGAAAGGTACCCACAGAAACATACGGGTGTAACAGTCACTGGCAAGAAGAGTGACAAATGAGACTTCTGGTAGAGGGAAGACAAGAATAAAAAAGAGAAATGCCTAGGATCTGGGATAGAAAGATGGGAAGAAGATTGATCTAGACAAGAAATGGATAAAAGGCAAGGTCGAGAAAGAGGAAAAACCCAGGAAGATAATGAGGACAGAAGTCATAACATCCCAGGTCATCAGGGGGAAAGGAACACCACTGAAGACATCTAGGTAATAAGCACACAAGAAGAAGGAAGGGGTACAGTAAAGATGTAACCTGACCCAATGAGTCCCAACAGCAAGGGAACAAAGCATGGATGGATAGAGCTGAAGAAGTAAACAGAGAAGGGAACAGAAGTCTACGGAAGCCGTCAAAAGCACTGAGAAGTATCTCAGATAGAAGGTGGAGTTGGGAGAGGGAATACAGAAGGGTATAGAGAAAAAAACACAAAAATGAGGAAATGGAAAGTGAAATAGAAGGTAAATGTCTCAATTTCCTAGCAGGCCAGATAGATACCAATGAGAGAGAATTGAGAAAAGAAGGAAAAAAGAATACAAAATAGGACAAAAGGAGTCACAAATGTGAGGGGGATGAGGCATTTGGGCATGTGAAAGAAGCTATTAAATAAAGGAAACAGTATAAAACCTAAAAACAAGAAAGGGGAAAAGTCAAGATAAACCCAAGAATCTGGGTCAGAAAGTGAGAAAATGAAAAATAATAAAGAACAGAGGCAAAAGAGATAGAAAGGAACATAACTGAGAAGAAAATCCAGAAAGAGATTGAAAGGCTAAGGTCATTTTCTGAATGGTAAAGTACGATCTAAAGCAAATCAAGTGAAGACCATACTCTAATAGATCATTTCCAGCTGAGGAGAAAGAAATTTAACCAAGACAGAAGTAGAGGACTATTAAGCATGTAGTGATCCACAACATGCTGAACAATGGCTGCAAAGACCCTGACATTTAATGAGCCTCCAAAACCCACAGCAGAAATAAGACCTAAGTGGGAACAATGCCCAAAAACTCATGACTAAGTATAAATCACAGACATTTGAGAATTTGTGATAAAAAATTAAAGGCTTTGAAATAAAAGCTAAAGAAAATGATGCAAATCTCAATAAATGGAACACAGGCAAGAAATTTAAACATGTCTGTTCAATAGAATGCTGAGATAAAGAATGAAGATTCACGAATGCAAATGCACAGAGAGAGTTGGTGCGATGGAAATGTATTGCCCTCACATTGGTGGGGGGGGGGGGCGTTTTATTGTATGATGACATCATCATGCAGTGGTACAATTCACATAAAATCATGTGAAATTAGGTGGGAGTTACCTCAAGGCTAGTGGCATGCAAATCTCTTTGGCAGACACATTAAGAAGATATCTAATCTGTGTAAAGAGGTGAGTTATCATTTCAGAAACCAAGGTATAAATAAGAATTTTATACATATTATCTTGAAAATAATATAACTTAAGTTCTTAGTGCAAACTTTTAAAATAAACAACACTTACCTGTAAGTTGTATTACTGCTCTTTCAGATTTGCTAATGTCTGGGAAAACTGTTTTAAATGTCAAGATATATATTTTTAACTTTAATTTTTTTAACAAGATACAAAACAACAATCACATAAACTATAACAACTTTAGGAATTTAAAGTATCTTTCATGTGTTGATTCATGTTTCTGTTTTGACTTAAACAGTGTTACTGACAAATTGACTTACTAAACCAAATGGTACTGGGTTTTCCAAAATGTTCCAAAGAAGATACACATGACATAATCTCATCAATACTGTTTTTAATGCTGCAGAACATTGCTTTTCTTTGATCCACTGTACATATATTGATAGCACACAGTACATTATATGAGCCTATAATACATAGACAAAAAATACACAATTATAATGAGGCAAAATAAAAACAAGAATACCAAAAATAAAACAGAGAAGATGAACATGGGCTACATGTGGAATGAGATAATATAAACATCAGGATAATAAATTTTAAATATATTAAAATATGTTAAACAAAATTTTAAAAATCCCTGTTAATGTACAACAAATACTCATGTAGTTAAAATAATACTGAAAATATATACAGAAATGCTTTTAATCAACTGTATAAACATTAAAAAAAATTCACATATTCACAGAACATGAAAATTCCATTACTTTTCAATTATAATTTAAATATTTGCTTTTAAAAATAAATCTCAAACATGACCAGTATTGTTAATGTTCTCAACCACCAAACTAGCATTATTATTTACAAGTAAATTCAATTAGCATAATTGTTGGGTTTTTTCCCCAAGGTACAATTCTTTCAATTCTGACCATCATTCTTGCACTCCAGCTTTGAAGTGATAAAAAAGAGGGAAGGTATCTAATCAACACCACTCATTGCCAACTCTTAGGCTATTCTTCACCAATGGACTGACTATCGTATTATAACACTCTCACGGCTGAAGTGGAGAGCATGTATGTAGCAACAGATTTTGATCCTGCAACAAGCAGATTGTGAGACAAGCACCCTAACTAAATGGCCATTTGTTTTCAACAAATAACTAGTAAATATCTTTTGTTTATATGCTTTCTTTGACTACATTAAATTCACCAATATATTCAATAAAAACAGGATGTGTGTGTCAGACAAATAGTTTGCCATTACTTACCATGCTCAAAACATGTTACTAAACTTAATGTTTTGACACAGAATAAAATTCCAGTAACTTTCAAACAGGGACAATTCAACAGAGAAATATTATAAAGAAGTGAAAATAATGTCAAAGGAAACCACCAAAAGTCTATGGTTTGTTTCCAAGTGCTTAACACTTTACATTCAGATCCCCTATTCAACTACTTTGTTTACTCTACAGTGATTTATATTTTAGATCTCCTCTATACATTCATTCTATGCATTAGGCTCTAGTTATTTTGGAAACTGAGCTTCATTGGGGTAAAAAAAAATAGCCTAATATCACATGACAAGGGAGATTTTTAAAAAAAAAAACAACTTCCAAAGTAGGAAAAAACATGCAAAACAATATAAATACATGATTTTATTTCTAAGAGATGATAGTGACTAAGTAATGATAAACTACAGTTTTGGGTTAAGCAGAATAATTCTAAAAATTCATAATTAAACTGTTTATATGCAAGACTTCTAAGATGTATGCAGAAATAAAGTTTAGAAAAATTTGTATTAATTTTTCTTTGTGAAATACACTAAATATACAAAATATGCATTATATAATGTTAAAACAGCAATTCTAAAATGTGTTTGGCCAAAATATTGGTGAAATAGAATTATATTATTTACAAAACTTGAAATTTGAAGTTGTAAGTCTCATATTTCACAAAAACTGAACTTATGGTTTTTCCATTTCCTCATCACATTGCCTACAATGACTTTGGATATAGTTGTAAGAAGGGAGGATTGAAATGTCTCAGAAATTCATAACACCAGTGCTGTAACCAAAAGATATTTCTCTTTAAAGGTTTACTGTCCACTTGGAGTTTTGACACCAGATACTGACAAACACAACACTCAACAGTACACCAGACAGTTACATAAAAACTGGTTGTTGGTGGATGCATTACAAGCTAAGAGTGCTCTGCCCCAATACTTCTGATAAGATAGTGTTTGTGTGGTGGTGGTAGAGGTTGCATACATTCACAGCTAGAAATAAGACCCTAATCAATAACTTCTAAATTAAAACCCATGATCCTCATTGTAGTGAAATTTAATTCCCTTAAAATTAGTAGTTATAAACAAACAATCACTTTAAATGTGGAATTTTTGCTGTAATCACCCTCAAAAATATACAGTGAAGAGCTCAGTGTAAAACTTCAACAATTAAACATTCTCTTACAATGCTAAACATTCTTTCTTTGATTTTTCTTGTGAGAAAAACTGAAATGACTATACCTTAGCACCTTTGATCAGATCCACTTGACTCATGTTCCATGCCACCTCTGGTCTATTTTTTTCCATCAGTTCCTTAATCCGTTCAGCAGCCTGATGAACTTGTCTGGAAATATAGTGATGAAAAATGTGTTATCTTTCTGAATATATTAATAATATGATTTTACAGTTTAAAAATAACAAAGCAATCAGATGAACCACAGTGAGATACATTCAATGTGGCATTTTTTAAGCTCATATTAAAAACACAAAATTTCAATCCTTCATAAATAATGAAAGAAACACCTCTTATATAAAAAAAAAAGTTAAAAAAAGAGATTGATTCATGTATAGCTTTAAAACAAAGGCAATTTTGAAATGACATACAACTACAGAAAATTAATCTTTATTAAATATAATTGCTTAAAGTTTACATATTTCACACAGAAGCTTATTTGGTTTCATTTTTCAGCCATAACTACTTAATATACAATTATTTGTTTTTATAGAAATTGGAAATTTTCTTTAAATAGTATTTTCACAATGAAGTAATCTATAATAACAAAAACAATAAGTAATGAATTTAGAGACAAAAAGAGACAATTATGTGATTAACCAACAACAGTTATGTTCTCTCAACTGATAAACTTTCCTGGACTTGAGGGGGGTATCACATATATATCCTTTAATTGTTTCTTTCTCGAAGTAGAAACACTTAACCAAATTGCACAAAACTTAACATAAACACTGTAAATAATATCTAGTTTTGGCTTTAAAAAATCCATGATTTAATTTAGTATTTCTATCTTTTTTAAGCTGTAAATTTCCTTATTCTAGAAACCATCAAAATCATTTCTTTTATCTTATAATTTCATATTTTTTTTGTTGTCGATCAAAAAGTTCTGTTTTATATATCTAATCAGTTTTAAGTTGAATGGTGTTTGTTAACATATTTCTTCTCGTACTTTATTTTGCTGATTGCAGTAATCACCACTTTCAGATATAAATCATAAAAAATGTGGCCAAGACTAAGAAAAATTTATTCATGACCTACGACCTAACCTTTCAAAATGGCATCATCATCAATAGCTTTGTCAGACAAGTCATCATAATATAAATCAGGATTTAAGTCATCAAAATATTACCAATACCCATCATACTTGCTAAACCTAACGAAGCTTACCTAATGGCTTGTGACAGGAAAACATTTCTATAACTTTGAAGCAAATATAACTGTGTAAAAACAGTCTCAGTGGGAAAAGAAAATGTAAAAAAAAAAAATTGTAATAAATTATATTTAATGATTTCTAGCAAGTGTGTACTCAATACCTGAAAGAGATAGAGTAAATTGTGTATGTGGAAGTTTCTTAACTTTCAAAATTAATGTTCTAAAGCTAAATTCTATTTAGTGACTTTCATGGTAACAAACCTGTATGCTACAGCTCTATACAGCGAAATTAGCCAATCAACGTCTGTCACGTCTGAAGACTTGTTAAATGGGCTTCGAAAACTTTCATCAAGAAGGTATCGAACCATTGATTCTGGAGCAAGTTGTTGCTGACCCTTCAAGCACTTCAGAAGATACCTAGAAATCAATTTAAGGAAATATTTGGGTAAGAAAAGGTGCAAAGATAGAATTGTTACTATTGGCTACTACATGTGTAAATGTTTCTATGTATGTTACTAGTACTTATATGTATTTAAGTACTACAATTAGTAACTGTCTTATTTTTATAGACATTCCAGTGGTATGAGACTTTCCAATTGATTGGATATAAACCAATAACTACATAAATTATCAATACTGCTTTGGTGCACTTTATTTTCACACAGTAAAGAAGTGGTAGTATTTTTTCCTCACTGTTTTCATTATTCTGATACTGCATGTATATAGTGAATACAACAAAACAAAACTGATAAAACATGAAAATAGAATATGCAACATTTCTGCTCATCTATTATTAATTATACATTTTAAAGCCTTAGAAGTAATCAACCTGAAGGCTCAATGATGATAAATGGCCTGAGATAAATGTCACAAACTCGTCAGGTAGATCACCTATTACTAATACAAAAATAATTTCATACCGAGCCACTTGCAGATACAGAACAGTATTTTCTCCTTCATATGTACATGCTGCCACTGTACTAGCATACAGCCGAGGCAGGCCACTAATCAACAAATACCCATGTCCTCCACAAGCTAAGCGGCAAGACTCAATTGCCTGACTCCCAATTTCTGTGCTCAATGCTTTTAGTCCTGATGTTAAGCTATGCAACTGAAACAAACAAATCATACATAGCCAACAATAAAGAACAAAGCTTCGTATTATGCCAATAATAAAATAAAAATGCATACACAAAAAAAACAACACATTAATTTGTTATTGAACTCTAAGAGGACTGAAGCAAAATTAGTGTAAAGTAATCAAATTAAGTTTAACATTTGCTAATAACACTAATGGCACTATTTACAGCCATATCAATTTAATTGTGGAAATATCATATAAAGACTATCTAACTGCATTTTGAACAAAAATAACAGATATTAATTTGATGTTTTGTACCTACCAAGAAATAATTTAGAAGTTTTGATGCTTAAAATAGAAGACTTATACGTTGTCATACAATCAGTCAATAGGAAAAGTCTGGCAATGCTCAAATGTATTCTCATGTCTTCACATTTGTAAAAAATAGTGATAAATAAAAACAAAATTTACTTCAGGTAGCATTCCAAGATCCCCACGTTCCAAGTCCTGAGTAGCATTTTTGTAAATATCCATCAAAGCCATGAAGTTGGCTTTCAAAGCATGGGAGAGGGCTATAAGAGGAAATAGCTTATACTGCTGTGCCTGATAACTGAGGATCTGTGCCTCCTTCTCCCTAAGGATAAAATACATTAAAAATAAAATTCTACACTCTATACTATCATACACACAGTCGTTGGTAATCTAATTATTATTAAAATATGTTTGTGTTTGTAAAGACTTACACAAATCTGAAGAAAACACTAGTTTTCTTTATTATTAGTGATTTACCAAATTAACATAAATATTGTATGGAAAGGTCTGTGAAAAAAGACACTGAACTTGTAATAAAATTTATTGGATCATTGTTTTGAAACTTGCAAATTGATGGCTATATTAGCATTTCACCTAAACTTCTTCATGAACTTAAGTCTACAATGAAACACTATACTTATATGCAAAATGATTTTTTTATCTCTCTTCCATGAAATTTGGGAAGGTGGAGGTTAAAGCCCAGTATGATAATGAAAACAGGTTATTTTTCCAACTTTGCTTGTAAATTACAATCATCTTTAGTTGCATACTTATATTAATGTGAATTAAATTAATTGTGCTACTCACCCTGGAATAAGCTCAGATTGTCTTCTTACTGCACTGTATCGGATAGCTATGGTACATGCTCGAGCCAAGTTGATGGCAACCATGTCTATCAATATAACCCTCACAAACACCATTGTTCCATAGTTTAGCTTATCACTTTTAGGCTTGACGTAAACACCATCTTTCGTTACCTATAAAATATATTACTTAGACGTTAATAAAAATAAAAATATCATGAAATTATTGTTAAAATGTGAAACACCATCATTCTTCAATGATGTCTTCATCTGAAAATACTTCTGTAACTTAAGGCACTACACACGAACCCACCCATTCAATATCCATAATGCACTAATGTTAGATAAAATATGCTATATTGAGGTATAAAAATCATATGAGAAAACAGCCTGTAAAACTTATCATTTCCCATGTATAAAATAGCTGTTGAATATTTTTTTTTGAATAAGTCTATATCCAAGGCTAGTTTTTAGGCTTAGAGAATCTATACTATAAAATGACAAGCTCAAAAATCAAACCATTAACATTTATGCTTTGTGTGGTACATCAATACAGAAGACTTTCCAGAGTGCTTGGTTAAAATATTATCTGGAAAAAGATCATCCAAAAGCAAAATAGATATATCATTTGCTAATTAAGACTTTGAAAGATGTGTAAATATTCTTCCTACAATATTGCAATGAATTAAAAAAACAGTCCAAATTGCTGTTTAAAATAATGACAGTTGAGATGGTATATAAAAAAATGGTATTTCAAAACAGTTGACCTATCTATTCTTCTTGTATGGATACACTGTGTGCATATACAAATATATGTTACCTACTTTCTATTTGCATAAGCATAAGAACACAACTTATAATATCTTAAGTCAGTGATGCTACTCTATGCAAGATAACTTAAAAACTATAATATTCATATATAATCAATAAAGGCATGTAGCTACTATAATTATAATAAACTGGAGTATATACAATTATTAGTAATTTAAAAGAAACATGTTGACCATATTTTATTTTTTGTTTATCAAACCTTCTCATACCAAAAATGTGCAAATAACAATTGTATTTGAAAACTCTGTGAAATTCGACATGAGCACATTGATGTGACCATGAAATGAAACACTCAGCTGATGAAAGATAAATGACAGCTACCTCCTCTGCATACAATATTATTACACGATTGTTTAATACTCCTTAGTGATTAACGTATACTCCTAAGCTTAGTGAGAATTTACTAGATATACTTCCATTACATATAGATCTGGCCATTTTTTTTTTCAGATCTTGATAGCCATTTTTTTCTTGATCTGGCCATATTTATGCAATACTTAGAATACCTGACAGGTCTAGCCATAATCATTCCAGATCTGCAATATGCTTTGACAGTTGGCTGATCTTCCTCCTATCCTTGAAGTTAAAGTTTATATCAATCTGTTGTTAGGTACATCAAGGTTAAATTGCCTTATCAATTTATATACTGACTATATTCAATTTATTTTAATTTTATGAATAACAGTTACAGAATTAACTTACTTTACGGATCATATAAAAACAGTATATGTTCAATCAAATTCATTGTTATCCAGTGCAGCATCATACAGTCCTTCAAATGATTTTTTTCAACATGAGATCTTGAGTAATAATCAAATTCTTAATATCACTAAAAGTCTTGAAACTACATCTTATAAACTTAGGAAAAGCCACATTTCAGAAACAGATCAACAAGAACATTCCATTGTACAAACAAACACAGGGTCGCATACAGTCAAAATTTTATGTAAAAGCAGTATAAATTTGTATTTGCCTGATACCATTTCATATTTGAGCACATTGTTAGTGTTCTCAAAGGACATATAAAAAGCAATAAAGTTATTATCATTAAAATGTAAATGGTTTACAAAACTAAATTGTAGCAAGTAAACTATGTACAACAGAAAAGATGGAAAAAAAAATATTGTTTTATTTGTTTTGTTGTTAAGCACAAAGCCACACAATGAACTATCTGTGCTGTGCCTACCACAGGTATCAAAACCTGGTTTTTAGCACTTTAAGCCTTCATATTCACCACTTAGGCAAGGGGGAGGGCATCAGAAAAAGAAAGTGATTAATCTTATGAATGAGCAGCAAAAGTGCTAATACTGAAGATTGAAATCGGATGACTACATGTATGATTGGTTAGGCCTAAAGACTACTACTAAATCAGATATTTGCAAGTATTAACATTAGCCATTTTTTTTACTTGTGTACCTATCAGTTTTATATGTTAGCGAGATTAATGATTAATGTATCTTGATTACATTTAAAATGATGTAATTACTTGTGTATGAGATAATAGAAGTAGATCTATACTAGTGAAGTAACATTAGTTATGTCTTTAGACTATAAATTTAACTTTGCAACATTAGTAGTTAACAGTTTATACTAGTATTACATACATTTAAAAAGCAGTTTTTTTATTAACCGTCAGAATAAAATTTTTCCAAAGTGACTGTAAAACAACAAAAAATGCTTTATCGAAAAGTCGAGTTACAGATTTATTGAGCATGGTTTTTTCTTTTATAATTTTGAAGTTTAGATGTAGTTTCGTCTCAATTAAGTTACTCAATCCTTCTTAAATTTTTACTTTCCAAATGCACAAAAAGGTGTTTAGATGTAGTTTCATCTCAATTAAGTTACTCAATCCTTCTTAAATTTTTACTTTCCAAATACACAAAAAGGTATTTAGATGTTTGTGTATTTACTTGTAACTGTTTTCTGGAATTTGGATGTGTGCGTCCCCCTGCACTAAGAAGAGGTATTGGAAAAAGAAATTAGCATGCAGGAACTACATGAATTAGGATAAACAATTAGTAAAAGTTAATATACTGCTTTTTTATTATAAAAAATCAAAGTAACTTCATTTTTATTTTATTGATCATATGTATTTAATACCTTAACCACCTTTACCAATGTTTCTGTACAGGAGCTTAACATTAGAAATCAGCTTTTAACATCAAAATCTGAATTTATTTAACTTGCAATGCTTTTTATGTATGGTTTGATCTATATTTCTCATAAAAAATTACACAAATAATGAATATTTTAAATTTAGCAGACCTGATGCTTTCCCAGATTTGATATATTTTCCATATCTGGCCAGACCTGGTATTTATCCAAATCTTAATTTACGATATATAACTAAAGTATAATAGCAATCACAAGACATTTGATTATTTACCAAATTGTAACCCTGTGACAAAACATACCTGGGCATTTTTCATCAGCATGTTAGTTCTTGGTATACGGACATTATCAAGTTTCAAAAACCCATTATCTGATGCTCGCATGCCCATTTTTGGTCCAATCTCTCCAACAGTGATCCCTGTATAGAATATTATAGTATTATTTAGATATATATGATTAAGGAAAACAAAATCTTCATCATAAATAATCCTCAAATATGCTAGATTTTTTTTCCCATTATCTGAGTCATCCCACTTCAGTGATTTATGTTAATTACTTATTTGTGTTTGCAGTAATCTAAAACAGCACATGAGTGGGTGATCTTCTGTTCTTAGTTTTTTTTATTTCAAATTTTTATACACAAAAATAAAATGTCTTACAAAGTATGTTACACAGATTATTCCCAGTGAACATTTTAAACAGTTCCTAATTTCCTAAAGTGGGGATAAGTTATCATCAGAAAATATCAAGGACCACAAAACAAGAGTCTTAGTTTTTTTATTTGAATCACCTTATTCATATACACTCAGCAGTACAAGTGTTAACAATTTCGAGTCAAAGTCTATTGCAAAAAATGAATATCTTAAAAGACACTGAAAGAACGAGTTACATGAGTGCAAGAGATGCTGGTTCCAAGTATACATTAAGCCTTAAGCTGCTGCTGGAGCGATTAATCACATTTTTCTAACATTATCATCAATAAGTTGAAATATACCCATTCAAACACTGTTGCACACATGGTGTTCATACAAGAGTTTTTTGTAAACATTATATGAGTGTTGTGAGACATACATAAAGAAACTAATATGCTTAACAACAAATATATAAATATACCTTTAATGGGTTGATGGTCCTCCATGCTACGGAGCTGTACCATAAACGGATGGATCCCATAGCATTTTCCTTTGGTATATAGCTGTGCCACAACAATAGCATGATTGGCTGTTTTTCCCACTAAGATATGTATATTACAATATATATATATATACACACACAAACACACACATATATATATATATATATATATATATATATATAGTACTATTAATAATTATACATACTAACTAACTTAAATAAATATATTATTTATATAATTTAGTTCGTGTATAAGTAGGTATAATAACTTAATAATAAA